TTATTCCCCTAATCAGTTTCTGTTAATTTGTAAGGTCAGATCTTTCTAGGATACTGAACTTGTATTATAAGTTAATATTAATAAGTTATAACTTTCTCCTCTCCTTATAGTTTTTTAATAGTTTACTTTAAGACAATGTCCTTTTGTATAGACACAAGAAGACAATTAATATTATGCTTTTGTAACCTGGGATTTAATTGGCTTCAAATATTATTCAATCCCGGGCATCTGCTTTCTCAACTTAAGCCTCAGTTGCCCTCACTTCCTAGTGCCCCCAAAAGCAGGGTCCCAACGAGGGACTGGATAGAACCAGGGCAAGCAGTAAACTATGTGCTACCCTGGCATCGAGATGGGCTTGGCCAAAGTGTCACAGTTCTTAAGTATAAGTTAAGAGCTTGATCATGACAAATGCTTTCATGATCCAAAAGTAACGACGAGGCTAGGACACTGCTAGGGATAGGAAAGACTAATCTGGCCTGAGCACTGTAGTCTAAGATCGGGATGACCCCAGGAGAGCAATTCTATAGGCTTAATGCATCTCTTACTGTGTCCATACAAAATGATTAATATTATGAATGCTTATATGTTTGTCGGACAAGGAGAGGAGAAATACACCCATGGGATTCCACCCTTGGGTGAGTGGTCCTGCTGAAAGAGAATCTGTCCTTAGAAGCAGTATCCCCTGAGGGGAAGAACTTTACCCCTATTGATTGTGACCACACCTATGTGTAAGCCCAGCTCCTCATGGTTTGGGGATTTAACTAGTCTGTAAGAGTGATCCAGAGGGGAGAAGATCAGGATCTAGATCCAGAGTCAGAGCCAGAAGGAGAAAGGGGTTCCAGATTGGGTGGGCGGGAGAGAAGGAGAGAGAGAGAGAGAGAGAGAGAGAGAGAGAGAGAGAGGAGTGAACGGAAATGATAATGGAATAAACAGCATGTGATCAATCCACCGGCTTACCCCTCGTTTCCTCCACCATCTGCACCAGGGCCTGGGCCACCCCGCCCAGAACCTGGGCTGCCAGGGGAAGAGCCATCAGGGTCACCCCCTGGCCACCCTTGGAGTTTTTTACACCTGAGCACTACCAAAAGTGGTCTCTGAGCACAGAGACAGGAGTAAACCCTTAACACTGCTAGATGGGGTCCCAACCTCTGCATAAACAAAACAAAATAAAATAAAATGTGGTTTGGCCTCTTTTCTTCCCTGGCTATTTGAAGATATGCCATCAGAAATTACATAATAACCATTACTTAGAAAGTTTATGACCAATAGACTATTTCAATGGAAACAAATGGTTATTAATATACTTCACCCTGGAATAGCAACAGCGCTCAAGGCAGAAATTCAGGAAAAAGCTCACTAGAATGTGGGGCTGGAGAAGGAGATAATATATAATAAAGCACTTGCCTGGAATGTGGCCAAGCCAGGTTCAAGCCCTGGTGCTTCATATGGTCTCCTGAGCACCACCTGAAGTGATTCCAGAGCACAGAGCTGGAGTAACCCCTAAGCACTATTGGGTGTTGCCCTCAAACCAAACAAAAAAGACCTTTTTAAAGTGTATAAGGTCATCTCAGATAGCAACTTTGTATTTTGATTCAGAGTTCATTTTGGGGGTGGCAAGAGGAACTTTGGCATGATTATCATTTCCTGAGTTACACAAAGATGCATGAACCCAAGTACGGCCTGTACAAAAATAAAAAAAGACCTCAAGGTACAGCAAAAGAAGTATCAGAGCTGAGTGAAAAAGTCCAAGGGATTGCAAAGGCTAGAGTTGGTCTTGGCTAAAGGAAAGAATCAAGATTCTGCTGTGACTGTATCTATAGAGACTGCAGATTTTTCAAGAGAAAATCAGCATGTATTTGTTGAGACTAATGTTACAGAAGTACTTGAAAGTATGAAAAGTGTTGTTACTGACACAAATAAGACGTTTGGAGGAGAGAAGGGCGGGTTCCTAAATTGGTATGAGTAAGGCTTGAATTGAGGGAGGAGAGAGAGAGAGAGAGAGAGAGAGAGAGAGAGAGAGAGAGAGAGAGAGAGAGAGAGAGACTTTTAGAGTGTGAGTGGGGGGTTGGGCAAGGGTCAAAATTCTCCTTGACATGAGCTAGGTGTAAACTTGTTTGGTTTGAAATTCCTGTAGGCGCTAAAGGAGCAAGGACGCAGTTTTCCCAGCAATTTCAGACGTGGGCACAGGGAAAGAACGCAGAGTGGGCCTTGAAAGCTGCCAGCAAATACGAAAAAAATTTTTTAAAAAAGGGGGGAAAAAAGAGCCAGACTCGATAGTTTTATGCCTCTCGTTCTCTGCCTTCTTCAGTCCCTCAGCTCTACAAGGACTTGCCATACATTGGTCTGTCCTTATCACTCCACCATCCACTTCCCTCTCATTTCTGATGAATCATAACCACTCCCTTACCTCCTCAGCTCCCTCTGTCTTTTTTGGTTGTTCTTATTCTCTTGGTAAAAACCCAATTAAAGAAATTTCTGATCCCACTGTAAGCCTGCTTCCTGGTAGCCTACTACTGGTGGGAGAGAAAGTTTGATCATTCTGACTTAACTCACACAAACTCATGGCCATTAAATTCTTGTGGGCACTTGAGGGCACTCAGCAAACCCAATATGTTTCCTCAGTCCGTTCCTTCTCCGTGTTCTCCTCAGCCTTCCATTACTCTCCACACCGCCTCTCCACTGATGACTTTACTTCTTTTGTCTCTGATGAAAGGGAAATAATCACAGCTTCCAGAAACTCCCCATCACTCCAGCTCCACCCCTAGCCGCCTGATGAAGTCTGGCTGCTGTCCACACAGGACCCTTCCATTTGTGTGCAAGATCCCAAACCTCTCCTCTCAAGCACCCCGCTCTGCCTAGTTCTCTTCTTACTCCTACATTCATTTCTCCTTCTTTTCCAGATCATTCTGATGGAAAGCAAATATTATTGGTCAGTCTACTTTTGACTTCTACTGCTAGTGACAGCCCCTACTTTGGGACTCCAACTTGCAGAGTAACTTCTCAAAAGAACCTGTATTATACTAACATATCAGTACTTGTCTGTACCATTTTCATCTCCTCTCCTTTTATTTATTTCTTAAGTCCATTCCCATCAAGTTTCTTCTCTCTCCACTTGCTCTTTAGGAGGCTTGAATAGGACCTCCTGGTACTGACTCCAATGCCAGTTCTCAGTCCTCATGGAGAAGTATGCTCTCCGCCTGCACACACTCTCTTCATTTGGCTTCTAAGCATCTCTTAGCTCTTCTGTTTTCACTGGTTCTTCTTTCTCCCCTCCATACCACCCCCCTACCCCTCACCCCCACATTTCCCACCTGGAAGTTGCAAGTCTTCAGCCTTGGCTCTCTTCTATTTCCACCCATTCCACTGGTGATCTTGCTCAGTCTCAAGGATTTGGTCAAATCCCTTTCTACCTCTGCCTACTCCAGTTTTCTGCTTGGCAACAGACAGCTGAAATACAACACCAGACCTAAACTGCTGCTCTTCTCAAACCTACCTGAGGGCTTCCTCCTCCCCATTGATTTCATGTCACCCAGGAGCTGCATCACCCTATATAATTTTCTTTAATATTATTTGTTGCTTGCTGCAATCAATTGCTTTGATCCTCCAATATATATTATCTATAAGGGCCAGAATTTTGCTCTGATTCGTTCCTGTTTATAATACCTCCTCCCCCAGGCCCCTCAGCTTGCACCACACCTGGGATACTCAAAAACTGTCTTTGTTAATTGAGTAAGAGATGAACTAAAGCGGGAGGACCCACAGTTCTTAGTTTATTCAGAAATCACCCAAGTCTTAGACATACCTGAAAAATCAATTAAATCTGGGTTCCTCTTTGCAGGCTTAATTTGAGTGTGGATTAGGGGAGGAGCAGACAGGGAGGAGTTTTCAGAAAGCACCAGTATAAGGTTTGGGGGTGGCGGTGGGAGAGTAAAGGTTTGCATGGGGGACGCCACTGTCATCAGAATGAGTTCTAAACAGCTACCTGAACTTCGTTGGCATCACATGAAAAGGTGGCATGAGTGTGAGTACTAAAAAGAAACCAAAGCCGCGTCTTCCTGCGGTGCCAGTCACAGGGATCAACAGCTGCTCTCGTACTGGTGCGGCTCCTTTTTCCCTTATTTGGACTTCATGTGCAGAAGAAAGACACCACACCCTGCGTTGTGTAGCCTTCAGTGGGGAGCTGGGCTATGTCCCAGGTCTCCCGGCTTCAGCATTGTATTTAATACAGTAATATATGTTACTTCTTCTTTGCCCAGTTTGGAATCAGGGCTCCTGGGTGGGGCCAGGAAAAGCCATTCGAAAACAATGCAAAGTAAAAACGTCAGATTTTTGTCTTTAAAAAAATTAATAAAAACACATAGGAAAAGAGGGTAACGCTGTCCCAGGCATAGTGGGGCCTCTCGGGGGTCCACAGAGCTCAGTGCTTTAGGGATGCCCCCGCTCCCCGGCCACACCCGTCAGCGCCCGTCCCCCGGGAAGGAGCCCCAAGGTTCCTTAGAATTTCCAAGCAACCCGCCCGGACACGTCCGGACTGCAGGAACAGAGTCCAAAAGGGAGAGCGACAAACCGGCCAGGACCGTTGGCGGGGGTGGGGGGGTGGAGTGGGGGTTATTGCGCGAGCACCGCAGCGAGCGGCGGAGGCGCGGCGCCCGGGGCCGAAAGCAGGCGGCGGGCGGGTCGGCACCGTGCGCCGGGGTTCGGGTCTCGGCTGAGCTGCCCTCGGCGGCCGCGGCGGCCGCTCCTTCCTCCGCACGCCTCCCCTTTAAGCGCCGCCGCCGCCGCCGCCGCCGGATTTGTGTCGGCCGAGGGGAGCGGCGCGACTCCCCTTTATGGCCGCGGCGGCGGCGGCGGCGGCGGCGGCGGTGACAGCCGCGGCGGCCGCGCGGGGCCGAGCGGGAGGCCCGGCCAGGGGCGGCGGGCGCCGGCGTCCGCGCGGCCGGCCCGGGGAGGCGCGGGGGCGCGCGGCGCGGGCGGGCGGGCGGGCGGGCAGTGGGCGGGCCCGAGCGCGCGCGGGGGGCGGGGAGGCGGGCGCGGGCGGGGAGCCGGGCGGCCTGCGCTCGGGTCCGCCTCTGACTGCGGCGCGGCGGGGCGATGTGTGATTACCATGGCGAGGAGTCTCTGTCCGGGGGCCTGGCTCAGGAAGCCCTACTACCTGCAGGTAGGCCGGCCGCCCCCTCGCGCCGCGCTCCCTCCCGCGCCGCCGCCGCCGGCGCCCGCCCGAGCCCCGCCGCCCCCTGCCGTCCGGCACCTGGCGGCGCGCCCTCCCCGGCCGCCGGGGCGCCGCAGCCCCCCGAGGCGCCGCTGCCCGCGACCCCGCGCGTCCGGCTCCCCCGGCTCGGGGTGGGGCGGCGTGGAACCGGCTCGCCAGCCCGGGCAGGCGCTGGAGCGCCGTCGCATCCTCGGGAGCCCGGGGGACGTGACCCGGCGGCCACCCGAAAGCCCCCTGGAAGCCGGGGCTGGGCGCCGCGGACTCCGGACGTGCCGCCCTCTGCTCCCCGCCGCGGTGCGCTCCTCCCCTTCGCCCTCCTCTCCTCCCCGCGCCGTCTTCCCTAGGTGGGAAGCGAGGTGGAGTGTCATGCCTCCATCTTTTCGAGAATTACAGGCGTGTGGCACAGCAGCGTGCGTCTCCCCCCTGACAGTGCCTCGGGAGCGGCGGGTGCCTGGTGCCGCGCGCCCCTGGGCACCGTGTCTCCATCGCGGCGGGCATGTGCCGGGGAGGCCGGGCTCGGGAGCCCGAGCGGAGGGGAGATGGCAGGTTGGCTTTTTCCAAGGTGAGAGCGGTGGGGGCACAGTGTGCGGTGCGGATCGCGAATCCCCCCAGCGAAGCCAGCACCATTCGCAGGCGTGTCATGTGGACGAGGCGCGTGTTAATTTTTCATGATTTCCCGCACCGCCCTCTGTTCCGCCGCTGCCAGTCCTTGTCTTCGAACCCTGCCTCTGCCTCCGTGTACTGTTGGTCACCAGGGGGACCTAGTAGACACCCCGGAGGAGCTGAGCGCAAATCCATCACACCCCCTACCCCTCACCCCGCGGGCGCATTCCGTGGAGAAGAAACGGCTACAAGTCGGTCCTCGCGGGGGTCAGCACTGTCGTCTGCGTTTCGAGCACAGTGTCCGTAACCTCATGCAATCATACCTTACAGGTGTTGGTAGGGTGTGTAGGGACCGGAATTCACACGCAGCTGGTGCTTTCATAAGTTATGTGAAAAGTTGAGAACCTTCATGGGGCGAATAAATCGTGTTTGTACTTGGGGATTTTTCAGTGTAAATCATTGCCTGTGATGATGTATTGCAACTTAAAAGCGTGATTTGACGATCCTTGATAAGAGCGGAGCAGTGTCTGTTGCAGCTCCATCAATGGCAATTGGGCTTTCAGCAAGTAACTAGCGCAAACCAGTTCAGAATTCAACCCAGGACTGGAGAGGGCGCTTGCCTTGTACGCAGCTGACCCCGCTTCAATCCCCCGCACTGCATGTGGTCCCCAGAGCACCTCGGGGAATGTGACCTGTGAATACAGAGCTAGGAGCACCAACAACACGCCCCTCCCCCCAAGGAATACTATCTTGTCCAATTGCCTCTTAGTGTTTTTTTTTTTTATGAGAGAAGGGGGAATGTATTTCCAGACTCAATCACCAGACTCAATCCAACGTATATATTTATTTAAATACTACAATCATCTAATTATGTTTAATTTTAATAGGTTTTATGGCAGGCTTTATTTTATTTAATTATGGTTTAGGTAACAGGGTTATAATAAAGTGCTTTATTTCTTTTGTGTACTAATTAGTTCACTCACCACCAAAGAGGGTCTTGGGTCAAGTGCCCAGGACCCTCTTTCACTCTCCTTATGTCACCTTTGGTCTGGCCGGGCTTTTTTTTTTTTTCTTTTTGGGTCACACCCAATGATGCACAGGGGTTACTCCTGGCTCTGTACTTGGGAATTACTCCTGGTGGTGCTCAGGAATGCTGGGAATAGAACCCAGGTTGGCTGCATGCAAGGCAAACGCCCTACCAGCTGTACTGTTGCTCCAGCCCCTGTGGCCAAGCTTTGTTTCATTTTCAATTTTTGTTTTATGGGGCCACACTCAGCAGTGCTTAGGGCTTACTCCAGGCTCTGTGCTCAGGGATCACTCTAGGTGGTTCTTGAGGGACTTTATGTAGTATAAGGCATGTGATACTATGTGACAGTGACTTTTTGGGGCACCATAACACACGAGCCTTCAGATTGGCTGAGTTAAGATCAGTTTTACAACTAGTTATATTCCTATTAAGGGGAAACATTGGTATTTCTGGCTTTATGAATGTGTACATCATTGTTCTACATTAAGGTAATCTCAGATTTTAAGCACCTCCAAAACATTTGGGGTTGTATAAATATTTTAGTAGTCTGTCTCTATGCAAAATAATTAAGTAGAAACTATATTGATGATAGTATTATATTTCAGACAGATAAATTTTCAGCATGGAACCTAGGAAGATTCTTTTAAATAGTGTCTTGGTTTTCGTTTTAATTTTTTTTTTAATAGATTTTCTTCTTTTTTGGCCAGGGTTTACTCCTGGCTCTGTGCTCAGGGATCACTCCTGGCATTGATGGTGGATGGTATTCAGTGTTGGGGATTGAATCCTGGGTTAGTTTCATGCAAAGCAAGCACCTTAATTGCTGTATTATCTATTTGGCCCTGAATTTTCTTTTTGTTTTTGCTTTTGGGCCGCATAAGGTGTTGCTCAGGGATTACTCCTGGCTCTGTACTGTGCTCAGGAATTACTTCTGGTATTGCTCGGAGGACCTTATGGGATCCCAGGGATTGAACCCAGTCAACCATGTACAAGGCAAGTGCCCTATCCACTGCATTATTTATCACTCCAGCCCTTGAATTTTTTTCTTAGTTGTTCCACATCTTACTGTAGCACTGTCCTCCTATTGTTCATCGATTTGCTCAAGCAGTACCAGCAATGTCTCCGTTGTGAGACTTGTTGTTACTGTTTTTGGCATATCGAATACGTCACGGGGAGCTTGCCAGGTTTTGCCGTGTGGGCAGGATACTCGCGGTAGCTTGTTGGGCTCTCCGAAAGGGGCGCAGGAATCAAACCTGAGCAGGCCGCGTGCAAGGCAAATGCCCTTCCCGCAGTGCTCCAGCCCTCACATCTTACTATTTCAGTTTAAACAATTTTTTAAAATATGTATTTATTTATTTTTGTTTTTGAGCCACACCTGGCAGTGCTGGGGGCTACTCCTGGTTCTGTGCCTGTGAGACCATGCAGTGCCAGTGACTGAACCAAGGGCGACGTTCAAGCAGATGGTCTGTTGAGCTATCTCTGCAGCCCTCAACATGTTGTTATTATTTTAACAACTTGATATTGGGGCTGAAGTGATAGTATGGAGGAAAGGTGCTTACCTCGGGTTTGATCCCTTGCACCCCATATGTTCCCCAAGCACTGGGTGATCCCTGAGCAGCACTGGGTGTGGTCTCAAAACCAAAACCATACAAACAACAACAAAAAAAAACCCAGAAAACCAAAACCCCAACAAACCTTGTTATTACTCAGGTGTCGCACATTCTTTGGTTTCCTATTGCCTTATCTTCAGCTTTTTAATATTTCTTTTGCTTCTAGGCACTTCAACTTTGAAATTATTTGGGCAAAAACAAAATAAAAACCATTTTTAAAGGGGTCTTTTTTATAGCTGCTTAGTTTCTTAAGCACTGAAGATAAATCAATATATGTATAAAACACAGAACTTTATTTTGAGAATAAAATCTTGCTCCCTTAGGAGCAGCATAGACATGAGGACAGACTTGAAAGTTGGCATTTTTTAGGGGTGTGGAGGGGTTCCATACTGTGGTACTTGGGGCTACCCTGGCTATGTGCTTGGGGGTTGCTCATGCTAGCGGTTAGGGGGACCATGTGGTGCTGGAGACGGAACCAGGGTCTGCTGCATGCAAGGCAAACACTTAACTAACCCTGTGCTATCTGTCTGGCTCCAGAGTTGAGTTTTGATCATTTGTGGGTCTGGTTCATTATGATTTGGAAAAAATTTCTTGACTCTTCTTTCCATAGTTCTTACCACTTTCACTAGTTCACACATCACATGAACTAGATGAAATTGAATCTTATTTTGTGACACCTTTACTGCATTGTAAAATAGAAAAGAATGTGAGGGGCCAGAGCCATAGTAATGCACTTGCCTTGCTTGCAGCCAACTTGATTTTGATCCCTGTATGTATCCTATATGTTCCCTGAGTTGCAACAGGAGTGATTCCTGAGCTCAGACCCAGAAGTAAGTTCTGAGCTCAGGCTGTTATGGCTCAAAAAACAAAAAAAGAAAAGAAAAAGAAAAGTATGTTGAATTGCTCAACCAAAGACTTCTACTCCACCCATATTTTTTTTAAAAGTGTTTTGTTGTTGGTGGTAGTTTGATTTTTGAGAGGGGCGTATGCTAGCCTTGCTCAGGCTTACTCCTGACTTTGAGTTTGGAGATCATTCCTGGCAGGCTTAGGGGACCGTATGGGGTACTGGGGATCAAACCCAGGTTGGGTCGCGTGCAAGGGAAGCTCCCTACCCACTGTACTATCTCTCTGGCCAAAATAAGTGTTTGTAGATGATCGGCTGATCATGTTGACACAATCATTTACATAAATATTTGTTCAACAACTGCCATGTGGAAATTATGTGAAGTGGTAAGGATTCCAAGGGAGATATGCAAACAACTGTGATCCTCCTGGGGTCTTTATAGGGACACAGCCATGGCCGAACACAATAAAACCTCTCAGGAGTAAGACACCAGTAAATGCCATGAAGGATAGGACTGAGAAGAGAAATTTTTCTATCTTTAATTTTTAGTGGGTTGTTCCAGGGCCAATGGCCAGAGCTGCTGCCTGCAGTGTTTTGTGTGTGTATGTGGTGGTGGTGGTGGTGAGGGAGGAGGTAGATGGGGGATTGGGGTGGTAGGCCATGAGGGCTCCACTCAGCACTGCTGAGTGGGGCCTGTGGGGTTGCGGTGCAGCTCAGGGTCCCACATAGACCAGGCTTGTGCTGTCCGGCTTGAGCCATATCCCTGACCAGTTTCTTTTCAAAGGTAATTTACTACCCGAAGGTCATATGCACAAAACAGGAAAGGAAAACCTCTTGTATTCCTATCAGTGCCCTTAAGAATTAACAG